AATGGAGCTTTATATGACATGCCATGTGGCGTAAGTGCTGTGTGCTAATGCTGAGTGTGCTGTTACGGTGATAGTTGAAGGGAAGTTCACGATGCTATTGTTTTGCTGGGATTCCAATTAGTGTGTAGCACCATGAAGGCTGGTCTATTTCAGATATCTAGATGGTGGTGTGTTCTTCTATCTATGGCATATGGTAAGATTGGACTAGCATCAGAGACGGGCACCATTTGGGCAGTAGGTAGAGATTTTGGGACGATACATGAGAAACTCGTTGCGTCTTGTGGAGAGAAACTGTCCATGGAGCTCAGTGAAATTGACACTTGGGTAAAAAGCAGTAAGATGCAGTCCACAGGTCTCCAATTTTGGCTGTTCTCTGTATTAGACTTTGCCTTGGACCAAATGCTGTGGTATTAAATTTTACGTGATGGGTATAGTGGTAATCTCATGGGTTTGAATCCCACCATGGCAGATGGTGACATTTTAATTAAAATCTTAAGAAATAAGCCAGCCTAATAGTAAGCATGTAACCACTGTGGTTTGTTTGTTTGTTTTGTTTTTTTTTGTTTGGTTTGGTTTCTTCTTTCTTAAAACAAAAAACACCCTGGTTCAGTAATGTGCTTCATGGAAGATCTACCATCCTTACCTGATCATGCCTACGTGTGACTCCAGACCCACAACACTGTGCTTGACCCTTAACTGTCCTTTAGGCAATTTATAGATGAGCAACAAATACTGGCCCAGCCAGCAACAGCCACATTGCATAAACAAAAAGCCTGTTTGAATGTGTCAGTCTTTCAGTGAAAAGTCAAGGATCATGATCCTTTTGCCATTTTGGACGTAGCCTTTTTTTAAGAGTCGGATTAAAACTTCCTTTGTGACTGGGAAATGTAATCTTGTAAGGATGGGTATTTTAAAGTTGACACTGAATTATTGAGCTAAAATATAACCCGTAGGTGTGAAAATGTTTGGTAAAACGCTTTTTTAAACTTTCACAGATACAGATACAGATACAAATTAATGCAGAGAATGTGGCTTGTTTTTTTTTCTTCCTCCCTGCACAGTTGTGGGATGTGGTGTTGCTGACAGTGTTTTATTGTCTATCCCTATGATACTTGAAGGTGATTATGTCACATTTTTTAACTGTAACTGCTTGTGGTATAGGTACGCCAGCAGAGCAGTTGTGCAGAGACTTCCTGAATTTTGATCGAGTGGAAATGGTGTTAATTTATTGGTTCATTTTCAAGTTAGGATGATGAGACTTTGGAGAGGAAATTTCAGGTGTTGGTGCTTCCATTGCATTTTACCTAGAAGAGCAAGGGTAGTTATTATATATTAGGCTTGGGTGTTTGGAAGGTTTTGTTGAAGCAGCCTTTGACAAACTACTGCAACACATCTTTGTGGTAATAGTGCACATCATCTCATTGTGCAAGTGATGGAGGTGATAAATGTTTACGATGCTGGATGGCATGTCATCAAAGGCCTACTTTGTCCTGGATGGTGTTGATCTTGATCTTGAGTAGTTGGAGCTGTACTCATGCAGGCAGTGGGGAGTATTTTGTCACACTCCTGATTTTGTGCCCTTCCAGATAGTGGAAAGTCTGAGGGAGATGGGATGATGACTTTGCAGAATTTGGGTTGATTTACTGTAGCTACATGTACATAAGTACAGTGAAAAGCTTTGTCTTGTGAGCAGTACAGGCAGATCATAGCAAACGAGGACATACAGATCATAGGGAGCTTAGAGTGAGGCATACGGATTACACTGCACAGGAGGTACACGAAGCAAGATCAATATTAGCAAGATCAACATTATTTGAAGTTAGTCCATTCATCAGTCTAGTAACGGCAGGGAAGAAACTGTTCTTGAATCTGATGCATGTTTTCAAGCTTCTGTATCTTCTGCCTGATGGAATTTCTATCTCCTGACATAATCAGTTGTTTATGGCTGGTCCAATTTTTTGTATTCAGTGAAAGAAGACCCCACAACTCAATGTTAAGGGTCTGTGTAATAAGAACCTGGCAAGAGATAGTTAGATTTTCCTTTTTCCTTTTTTTTTGGAGTTGATTGTCACCACCTGGTACTTGTGTAGTGTATTGTCAGAACAAGGTGAGAAAGAGAATTTATTTCTTATCAAAGAAAGATGTCATTTTGTAATCCTAATATTGAAGAACAAGTGTTCAAACTGAGAGCAAACCCCATTTATAGACCTCTGGCTGAATGGATAATATGACGGGGGGAAATGAACCACATCCTGATCAATATATGGACAATGTATTTTAAATTATAAATTTTTGTCAGTTGTAATGCCTAAGTAATGATGCTTTATTGACTGGGGACTACAAGTTGCCATATTTTCTGGGAATAAATTATTCATATCACAATGGGTCCCCATTTGTATGCCCTCGAATTATTTTTATTGTCAGAAAAATGGATAACATGCATAATTTTTTTAATTTGAATATCTTTCCTCAAACCAGTTAAATTGGACTGCTGCTGTATTAACCTCTTGCTCCCAGTAGACAATTTTGTGAGTTGAACATATTTGATTTCATCGGTAGAATAATCAGGCAGACTCTCTGTCTCCTGTGAAGGTTTACAAAAAATTCCACAATGCTTTCCCATTTAACAAAGAGGTTTACTATTTTAAAATGCCAGATTCTCTTCAGCAAAAGATCTCCAGAGAATGTGTCTGTTGAAGGAAACTGGCGAGAGATGAAAACTAGAAAACAGACCAGGAAACTTGAGGATAGACAAAGTAGCAATTGCATTCCCCTATGTTCACCATCAGAATGTTGCATTATGATCCCAGCTGCTGGTAACACTGAACAACTCAAATCCCAGAAGGAAACCTGGCTTGACGGGCTATCTTAGTTCTTTTTGTTCAGTGTGGAAGTGAATCAGTTGACCATCTTCTTAGGCTGCCAATATACTCTTAACTCATCGAACTTGCGTATGCACAAAGGAAAACTATTTTACACAATACAAAAACTCTTTTGCAAATTGAAATATTTCAATAAGACTAAAGATTCAAACCTTTTACTGTCCATCTCAGACACTCTGCTCACAACGAAGAATGGTGGAAGGCAAGGTGTTGTAGTGGTGAAGCTACTGTTGGTTGTGAATTAGTTAGAAATTTCAGATGTGGTTAATGTAAGCCTGATATAAAGTGTGTCAGAAGGTGACATGATGGGTGTGCAAAAGATTTTCTATCAGAAATAAGACAGGTTTTCAGATGAGCTGTAACTTGAGGATGAGAGACCCCTTGACAGAGTACTGCATTAGATAAAGACTAGAGATGATGCACATACTATCACGTAACACAGGAGGTTTTGTAACTTTTTTCTTAAAATTGTCCTAACTGCTCCTTTGCTCCAACTTTTGCAGATTGTCTTTTGTCTTTCTCTTTCTCTTTCAAGTGTATAACCAATTTGCTTTCGCAAGTACCTTTTTTTTTTTTGTAGCATGCAGGCTAAGTTGGGTGTGGAGGTACATAATCCTTGAAGGACAAAATATGGAATCAATCTGAGCTTGGGGTCACCTAGAACACTAAGATTGCGACTGCTTGTGAGAGTGCCAAGTGAAAAGGGCTGTACTTGATGGCAGGAATATGGAGTTTATCTTGGGCACCAAAAAATTTGGACTCCCCCAAAGTTTAATTGAAGGAATTTACAGCTGAATGAGACTAGATGTGTGATAAAACTGACAGACGCACTAAAGAAGTTAAGCATGATGGAGAGTTAGTCAGATGTGTATTTTCACAGGATTCCAGATGAAATAGTTCTGGCACAGGAAGAGAAGGTATTAGATTGTTCCTACATCTGACACAGGAACAATGTCCAGTCAGGACAATCTCTCTCGGCTATACAATAGAGAAAAGATGTTGGATCAGGAAAACGCTGCTTGATAATTTCTCTGCCTGCAGAGCGTGAGAAGGGATATGATCTCTGGTCGTAATAATGGAGTGTTTGCTGTTTCATGTCAGCTTGCAGGGAAAACTTGATTAGAGATATTTAACCGGTTTCAGGAGTGAGAGCACAATTTGATTAGAATTTCTGCCCTAGTTCAATCTTCATTCACTTATAAAGCTGTGTAATCTGAAGTATACATGTTTACTTGTAATTATTTTAATGAACACATTGGCGTCATGTATAGCACTTAAATTTATGTTGACAGGTATGTTTTCACAATGGAAACTTTGCCATTCAGCAATTTACATAAGAGCCATATTTTATTTGTAGAATCCAGAATGCACAACTGCAAGCGTAAGATGGGTTTTTAAAAGAAAAATTGCTGACCTCCCCTCTTTTTTTTTTTTGGCTCCAAAACATAAGGTGTGCTTTTATCTTATATATTTGGCACCTTTTGATCAATATGTGGAAAACTCTAGCCTCTTGATGTAAATCTAACTATTCCATCAAACTCTCACTAGTTAATTATATGAACCAATAACTACGTACTCAAAACAAACAAACCAGAGCTGGAAAATAAAATCAGTAATTGGACCTTGGACATAATGGTTGCTTTGAAGTGCCATAAAATACTTAGGATCTAAATTAATTCCGTAGAAATTTTCTGCTCAGAAGAGTGGAAAGGGGAGAATTAAGTAAGGTTAATGCTTGAAATTCTAACTGTAAATAATATTGGCTTGGTCTAAGATTTGCATATTGTAAAATTTAAAGCATTCAAAAAGACAATGCAACTTAGTAAACTGGAAACAACTGCGGATGCTGTAAATCAGGAACAAAAACAGAAGTTGCTGGAAGAGCTCAGCAGGTCTGGCAGTATCTCTGAAGAAGAAAAGAATCAGTTAATGTTTCTAGTCCAGTGACCCTTCCTCAGATCAACTTAGTAACATGGTCACACTAAAACTGGATTATTTTACCAAGTGGTAGTTTTTTTTTTTTTTGTTAGTATCAGAATTTCTGATATCTGCACTAGTACAGATGCACATGCTGGTTCTGAACAATAGATCCATTAGTTGTGGTGTTTTCTTTTTCAGGGTTTTAGAAAAATCTGCCCAGAGCTCTACAAAGAATATGAGGAGGCTGTCTTTGGCACAGAAGTGTTTCAACGTATTGATCTCTGTTCAATGCACAAAAAAAAGCAACCCTCTGGTTATTATCATTGTGAGAGCTCAATAGATGTAGGTAAGTATGACCCAAATGAAAACTAGAAATGTTTTTGCAGAACACTAAATAAGATGAGAGTTCAATATTTCTCTGCCATAAGCAATCCTATCAGTGTTTCAATGAATAGCACTGCGATTTCAGAGAAAACAACATCAACAGCAAAAGTGAAGTTGATAAAGTCATGCTGCCAGTGCAGGAATACATCTAGGACAAGTGGTACGAGTATGGAAAATGAAAGTATAATCAAAGCAGAAGAAATGGATTAGAAAATATTGATGTAGTCTGTTGTGAAACAATGATTAGATGTAAACATACAAACTGTAGCAGGAATAGGCCAGTCAGCTCTTGCAGCCTGTTCCACCATTCATCTGAGTTACTTCACATTCCTGCCTAATTCCCAATAATAATCCACCCTGTTGCTTGTCAAGAAAAGTATCTACCTCTGCCTTAAAAATATTCAAAGGCTCTGCAAGATCAACTTACTGCAGGCATATGGTGGGACATGGATTAATGTTATCATAAAGTGAAACCTCTAACGCCATTCCCTATTCCTAAAACTAAATGAGAAGTCATGAGAGGTTTGGGAAAGTGGTTTTTAACACAAACTTGTACATAATTTCAGCATCATAGCTGTAACATTTTTTTTAAGGAATTTGTTAGAGAAGTATGGTCAGCAGAATGTTAGTGAGCCCTTGAAGCTTAAAGCAAACCTAATAATTTCTGAAGCGTTTAGGCCCAAAACGTCAGCCTTTAAGCTCCTATGATGCTGCTTGGCCTGCTGTGTTCATCCAGCTCTGCACCTTGTCTCAGATTCTTCAGCATCTCTAGTTCCTGCTATCTCTGATTCAATTTAATCAGTGTTGGCTGTCCTGATTTTATTTTCCCTTCCCCAAAGCTTTCAAAATGATGTTAGTGACTTGGCATGGGTGCAGTTGGGAACAGAAACCAGTGGAATACAATTTCTAAAACTAAACCAATATCCGAAGCACTGTTGTAGAAAAAAAGAGACTTTAGGATCATTGGCTCTTTAACACTTTTTTTTTGTTTTGAAATTTACATCCAATATGGTAACTAGCACTAATTTACACTGATTTATAATCCACTTGCTTTTATTGAAATGATTAAAAGTTGAAATGTAAGGCTGTTCAAGTAGAGACTTTTTTGTTTCAACCGCTTCATGTAAAGATGATTATCTTTACTAGAAATGTCAATGTAGTAAATGGAAATGGTGGCCCAATCATGGCTAACAAGGGAAATAAAGGATCGTATTGGATCCAAGGAAAGGGCATACAAATTGGCCCAAAAAAAACCCCAGCAGACCTGAGGATAGGGAGCAGTTTAGATTCCAAAGGAGAACAAAGGGTTTAATTAAGGGGGTGGAAATACAGTACAGCTGATCCTAAACATTTTATGTTCAGTATGTGAAAAGAAAAAGATAAGTGAAGACAACTGTAGGTCCATGTAAGTGAGAAGCAGGAGGGAGTTATAATGGGGAACAAAGATGACAGACCAATTAAGCATATTTTGGCTCAGCCTTTACAGAAGACAGTGAGGGACTGAAGGATATCAGAATTAGTAGAAAAATAGTGTCGGGGAAATTAATAGGATTAAAGGCGGTGAAATCCCCAGGGCCTGAAAATCTACATTTCATAGTACTTGGTGGCCCTAGAAAGGTGGATGCATTGGTGGTCATCTTTCAAGATTCTACAGAGTCTAGAACAGTTTCTATAGATTGGAGGATAGTTATTGTAACCCCACTATCCTTTAAAACAAAAAGGAATTATAAGACTGGTTGGCCTGACGTCAATAGGTGGAAAAATGCTAAACCATTATACAAGATTTAACTGCAGGAAAACAGTGACTGTCCAATCCAGTCAGCAAGGATTTATGAAAGGGAAATCATGCTTGACCAATCCACAATTTTTTTTAATGTAACCACTGGCATTGATAGGGGATGTAGTTTACTTTGATTTTGAGAAGGCTTTTGATAAAGTTCCACTTGAGGGATTAGCATGTACAATCCCATATGTTTTAATTGAGGTTGTGTAGAGACATGGATAAAGAACTGATGGTAGACTGGAACCAAGCTGTTGAAATGAACAGGCCTTTTTCCATATGGTAGGCAGTGACTAATGGGATATTGCAAGGATCAGTGCATGGATCCCAGCTGTTCACCAATGTATATTAATGAGGGAACTGAACGTAATCTCAATTTTGCAAAGCTGAGTGGAAGGTGAACTGAGAGAATGCAGAAATGCTTCAGTGTGATTTAGACAAACTGGGTAAATGCATGGTAGATGAAGAGGTGGTCCACTTTGGTAGTGAAAACAGAAAGGCAGATTATCTGAAGAACAATAGATTGCACCTTTCTCAATGAGACTGATGTCCTTGTATACCAGTCACTGAAAGTAAGTGCATAGGTGCAGCAGATGATGAAGGCCAAATGGTAGTTTGCCTTCATAGCAATAGGAATCGCGTACAGGAGCAGAAAAATTCTTGCTGCAATTGTACAAGCCTTTGAGACCACACTGGCCCACATAACACATGGAGTGCTATGTGCAGTTTTCGTCTCCTTATCTGATGGAGGATGCTTTAGCTATGGAGGGAGTGCAACAAAGGTTTACTAGAGTGATTGCTGGGATGTCAGGATTGATGTAGGAAGAGACTGGATTGGTGTTTAGAAATGGCGGGTTGGCAGGGTTGGGTTGGGGGGAAGGGGTTGGATCTCCATTGAATCTTTTAAAATTCTAACTAGACTAAACCAGGTAAATGCAGGAAGGATATTCCCCATTTCACCTGCCTGTCTGTAGGGGGAGTATCTTCAGGAGATGAGTTTCAACTAGTAGTGTTCTTTGTCAGCAATTCAGACCTGGATCTAGAATTTATTTCTAATAAATAGCCATAAGAACCAAAACTTGTGCTCTGCATTCTGTCAACTTAGGTCTTTTAAAAAAAAAAAACAGATAAATTGGGGAATTTTTGCATAGCTCTATTGAAAAAAAAAAAAAATCAAATTTAGTGATCACTCTGGGAATACTGGAGCTTGATTTCTAGCATGCTACCCTAGTGAGGTGTAACACTAGGATGAAGTGAATCTTGGGATATCAACTGCAAGAGGAAAGTATACAGTAAATGGAAGGATACTTGGGAGCATTGATATACAGGGGGATCTTGTGAGACTGTAGTTCTCTGAAAGTGGCAACACAAGGTGGTATAGAAGACATATGGTAAGCTTGTGTTCATCAGTCAGGGCATTGAGTACAAAAATTGCCAAGTCGTGTTGCAGCTGTATAAAACTTTAGTTTGGCCACATTTGGAGTATTGTGTGTAGTTCTGGTCACCACACAACAGGAAGGCTTTGGAGAGGGTACAAAAGAAGTTTACCAAGATGTTGCTTGGATTGGAGTGATTTAGCTATAAGGAGAGGTTGGACAAATTGGATTGTTTTCACTCTAGCATAAGAAACTGAGGGAAGTATATAAAATTTGAGAGGCATGAATTAGTGAGTGTAAATGTCAAATACTAGGGTATAGGCTTGAGGGGAGAATTTTGAAGAAAAAAAAACACTTTTCAGTGCAGAAGCAGGCCGTTCTGACCCTCCAAGCAACACACCCCGATCCCGGTTACGCCACACTGCTAACCACTGAGCCACCATGCCACTCTGTGGCAGACATGCAAGGAAAGTTGTTCCTTTTTATACAGGGAGTGTGGTCGTGTTGTCAGTGGAGATGATAGAAACAACAGATTCAACAGTAACATCTAAGAGGCATTTGGGAGTCCATGGGGATCCAGAAGTTGGAGCTGTGGGCTGACAACTGTTTGCTCACCACTTGCTAGAGGTTGCCTCCTTTGACTTGACTTCCTACCTGTCATTTTCTGATTTAGAGCCCTGGGATATTACTTGTACACTTAATAGACTACATTGAATTATTGTGAAGTAAATGGAAAAAAAGTTTGGTTCTAGCTAGTGATGTAGCAACAGAAGAAAAGTTAGCAAATATTTTTGTTTCTCAATGACCCAAGTGAGATTTGCAACTGTTGGATCATTTAATTGGATATAAAATGCCTGAAGGTCTCCAGAGAGTGAAACGTCAAAGAACTTAGTCAAGCTGAGGGGATTGCCTGACACGTCTTTTCAGTATGTGAAAAATGTTTGGAAAATTAGAAAAAAAAAAAATCTTGATTTACACTCACTGAGCGCCACCAAGGAGAGAAATGAAATGTTCGAGTTTTTTGTGAAACCGAAATACTAACTTGGAGTACTAGGGAGAAATATAGGAAAGAAAAATAATGAAATAAATAAGATGTAATGTGAAAACAAATTTGGTCTGTGTCCTATCAGAAAATTAGATTGTGTAATTGTCAATTAGGATTGCTCAACATTCTTGTTGCAAATTTATTTCCATGGAGTAGTTGAAATCCTCTGTTTTTGTCTGTAGATGGCAGTAGGAGAAAATGATTTGATTCTCCATTCTCTTCAGATGCCTGTATATTGTTTTGGAAATTACAATATTGATCTGAGAAACCTCTAACCATTGTAAACGGAGTTTATTCAGTGAATAGATGAGCTGGCTGAGCTTTGGCTGAATGAAAGTAGTGCAACAATTAACACTAGTCTGCCCAAGAGGAGAATAGAGGTGGTGTGAGGGCTCCTGCTCCTGAACCATCAATCTTTCTGGAAATGTGAATGTTGGTCTTGGTAAAGACTGAATTGAGTTTGACTGTCAGGCCTTCCTGGAACTGATGGCCCACTAAAGCTGATATCAAACCAGTCCAACTGGGTGAAATGCATTAATATGATTAATTTGCAGAACCATAATTCCATAAGGAATTGCCTTCAGCAGAGGTGATAATTAAACTGAAAAAACAAACTCTCCAAGTAACAATGTGTTCAGATTTTGGAGTATTCTTTTTGATAGACATAGAACAAAGTTCTTAACCCAGTGTTTTTTGTTTTTTTTTTTGTGAAACTCCATTGTAACCTCAGTTGTGCATCTTGCCTTGTACTAGATTTGCTCATATTGTCCCATGTTAAGGATTGAAATGTTCAACTGTTTTTGAAGCTAAATCTTTCCCATCTAGAAAAGTCTTTGAGAAACCGGAACCTTGGGATGTTCTTGATTTTCATGAACTTTTTCCTCCAAACCTAATTCCAACCTCTAATATTCATAGGAATTATTGTATCCTAGGATTGAGATCATCCATACAGATGGTTCTCCTTTTAAAAGGGATTATTACAAATTGGAGGTTAACCTTTAAGTATTTACCAGAAGCAAAGCTAGTGCTTCTGGTAAGTAGTTTCTGTCACTTGCATTAAGATGTTTGGTAGTGTGGCTCACTTTTTAAAATTAATGTACATTCAAAAGAGACACCTGAAGGATGTAATGTTGAAGCTCTTTGTTCTGATGTGAATATAATAGCCTTGACATCCTAGGAATTGCTTTTACATTCCTGTACTAAACCAGAACTAGGTAATGAACATTTTAATTAGGCTGCTTCTTGAAGACTTCAGAACTCAAGTCCTGTAAAATGTACAAACTGTGATTTGAGATCTATAGCACAAAAAAGGCCTTCAAATTTTAAACAAATCTGTGCAGAAAGAAGTCAAAATCCCACTGTAGTAGAAAAATATGAACTGAACCAAACTTCGACACTCTGGAAACATTATTTTTCAGTTGTAAAACCTCCAAATATAATTATCTTTTGCTTTTACTGTTGTATAAAATATAAATCTTATGTATTTCTTAAATTACACTGGTCATACTATTTTACAATAGAATTCTAAATTATAACGCCAACAAAAATGAGCATTTTGTATTGCCCAGGCAATCATCATTTAAGACCAGGTGAGTTCAATATGGCAAGATTTAAGAAAAGAATTTGTATTTCAAATTCTATTGTTAATGCAATTTCTTTCTGTTCAACAGGACTTGATAGTACACCACGTTCTTCTTCCGACTTCCCTTTAGAGAATGTGGATGTGGCCAGAACCCCTGCATTTCCAGAAGGGTCGGTGCAGCAGGTGGAGCCCGAAATGTCACTGAAGTCAGAAGACCATGAAGAGTCATGCACAGACTCTTCTCCCATTTTGACAGAACAACCTGCCTCTGGGCCTGCAGAACCGCAAGAAAATGCACAAAGCCCTTCGAGTAGCCAATTGCCTCCTGTCTCTGACACTCCAGTGGATCAACCCTGTACAACTAGCTTTATAGATGTACAAAAAGAGGGATTTGATTCAATTCACAGTGATTTAATGGATTTAAAAGGGACTGTCCAATCTAGCCTGGAGGTCCCTTCGGTTAAGCTACAAAATAGTGTGCATCTCCCACCATCTACCATTCAGGAAGAACCTGAAAAACATTCAGCCCTCTCTGGACTATCTGTGACACAAACTGAAATGCAAGAACTCAAGTGCATTGTGCAGTCTGGAATGGAGCAGTTGGACCGATCTGTCCAGTACGGGTTTGCACAATTGAACAGTAACATAGCTGGACTGAGTCAGAATATTGCTGACTTGGTGAAGATTCTTACTCTGATTCATTCTTGTGATCCTGTGGATGCATCCTGTCAAAATGTCTGAGAATATTCCAGGAAAAAATGTTGGAGGAAGGATGTTCTGTCCAGCATGATCTTGGTTGATTTTCAGCCACTAGGAATATTATCAATGGTAGAGTCTGTGTTGTTTCTTCCACTATCGGGGAGAATGTGATACATTAGGGTTTACATTAGTTGCCTGAAAATCTCTCAATATTTAGGCAAAGGTAGTATAGATTATATATTGAAAAAGTATAATCACTGGTTAACTGCCTCAAAATGCAATGTAACTGCAGAGCCTGTATTATTGTAACGAGGAAATATTGTTACAACTAGTTGTCATTTTATTTGACTTTTTTTATGTTTGAATGCTCTGCCCTAATATGACCAACATTTTGTCAAGGACTAAACATGACAGTCAGACAGATGAGAGCAACAGCCAGCCTTTTCAGGTGACTGGATTATAACATACCAAGTGTTAGTTGAGTAAAAAACTAATGATTAGAAATAACTTTTTAATGTTTTTCAAGGCCTCAATGGCTATAAAAGTTTTGCAACAATGGTGTACTTTAAATGTAATCACTACTGTAATGGAGGGAAAAGAGGCAGCTAATTTGCCTACAGCACAGTTTCACAAATACAAATGTTAACTGCTTAATTAATCTTTGTTAAACCACCTTCCCTTGACTAACTGGCAAATGTTCGCCAACCTTCTTGCCAAGTGGACTTAATTGGGAAGCTAACAAATACCAAATGAGGTGTTCTGCATTTTGATTAAAGCATTTCTGAAGGAGGCAAAACTGTATTCAAAGTACAAGAGAGATACAGTTTAACCAGGAACTTGGACAACTAAAGAGGAAGAATTGCTAACATAAACTCTGAGCGCATTTTCAGAGGCAAGGATGCTATCTGTTGCATGATGTGGCCTTTTCAAGTGCATTTTAATGTTATCCATTAGTTGAGGAAAATTACAGTTCGGTAGAGCCACTGTTACTTTTTGAATATCCCAAGTGGAAACATTTGAGGACTCCTTGTACAAGGTATTGTTAATAATGCATAGCACATCAGGGTTATTAGTAGAGAACTTGCCAGTAGGCTGAAACTTGGCATCAATAATCTTAGCAAGATGCTTTTTTTTCATTCCCTAGCCTCTGCAAATTGTGTATAAAGTAACATGTCTTGTTTCTGCCTATTAATGTGTGTAGGTAGCCTATTTGAAGTGAACAAAGAAAAGAATGCAGAGAGACTTTCTGGGACAGAAAGGAATAAGTTGCATAGCCTGTAGCTGCGCACTATTCATACAATTTGTCATGCTTGTTGCTGAAAGCACCATGAAAAATGCATGTTGATATCAAAACCAATACTTGCCATGGCTTTTGTAAAATATTGAAGTTGGTCTGGGTGAAGATCGAGGGAGCAAAAACTTTTGAAACTGCAGATACAAATATCATTTATTTTCTATCCTCTGCAATAGACCTGGAATTCTGTAATTCTACCAAACCTGGACTGATTTTTGTTTTGGGGTAACAAGATGAACTGCAAACTGTTTACTGTTGCATAAGCCACAGGCTATAACTGGGAATCTTGTTAAGAATTCGAAACAGTTTTCAGTTAACAGGTTTTGAACTGACTATGATAGAGTATATTTGCATTTAAATAATGGGAGAATTTATCAAAGTAAAATATGAAATTAATTAACACATCTGATCAAATGTAACTCCCAAGCTCGCTAACATCACTGAGCCTGAAAGAAAGGTGGTAATTACATGAATTGAACAGCCTTTTGCACCAATACTTCAGTTAATGGAAACTGCTACAGCAAAAATTGAAGTAAATATAATAACTTTGTGTGAGCTGCATTCTTAAATGCATCTTAATTATCAATTGTATTTTATTTTACAATTTTTGTTCTTGTACATAGTTGCTGACATGCCAATGAACAATCTTTTTTTTTTGTTCCAGTATTAGTCTAAAGATGTTAAAGAATCAGTTGTATACTGTTGTAGGAATCTCTCTGCTTGAGATTTTAGTTTTGTTTCAAAAATGAACAAGATTCATACTGAGCTTTTGTAAACTCAGTTCTGTATTGGAACTTATTTTGAAAACTATACCCAAAAGGTTATGTAATTATCTGCTTTGTTTATTGCCATGGTACAAAGTGACTCCCTACGTTTATTCCCTGTTTGCATAGATATGCTTCTTCATAATCCCTGTGATATTCACATCCCTATTGATTCTCCCAATCTCACTTTAGCTTTACAAGAAATACTGTTCTCACATTGGGGCATTGCTTTTGTTTTGTAATGAATGGGAATTTGTCTTTCATTTTTACTGACTGTTGTTTCTTGTTTTTGTTTGTTTGTTTCTAATATTGTCTGTGTGGTATGATGTGAGCTGACAATAGCTGCTGATGTGTAATGCCTGAGAGGGCTATAGTTTTGTTCTTTTGTCAGTAAAGTGTACAAGTACCGTTACCAAAAATAACTTGATTGGAAATAAATGCTACAACAATGTGTAGAGCGAATAACCACCAATCCTTTTCATGGAACATCACCACCTACTGGGAATGTTGGTTGTAGGTCTATATCATTACTGATTGTGCGGCCCACACCCTGTGATTGGGATCATTGACCTAACAGATTTTCCAACCATTGACTAACAATAACTTGCTTCAGTATTTTCTGAAAGAGTTCTGAAGAAGTGTTACTGGACCCTAAACAACATTAACTCTGCTTTCTCTCCACAGATGCTGCCAGACCTGCAAGAGTTTTTCAGCAATTTTTGTGTTTGATTTACAGCATCTGCAGTTCTTTGTCTTGGGGTTCAGTATGTTAATAACTTGCCATATGAAACTTAATGACCATATGAAACTTGTGTACACGTTGGTGATTTTCATTGACTGTTAAAATTGGACAAAAGTGCTTTAGTCACAAGGCAAAACTTGCTGTCTCTTCATGCTCCCAATCCAGTTATGATATTTTTGAAGGAGCCTAACAGTGGCTGGAGTGTTTGTCTATTTCTGGTGGTGTGCCCTTTTTCAGCATGAAACTAGCATCTACTGTTAAGATATTATCTATTTTCAAAGGCAAGTAGTTCAACTATGTGCACTAAGCACACTATGCTAGATTTACCTGACACTGTAGCTGAACATTTTTAGAAATTCATTTTTTGGGATGTAGGTGTCACAATTGCCCAGCATTGCTTACCCATCCTAGTTGTGCTTGAGAAGGTGGTAGTAAGCTGCTGCCTTGAACTGCTGCAATCAACCCGCTGTGGGTTGACCCACAATGCTATTAGGGAGAAAACTCTAGGATTTTTGACCCAGTGACCACAAAGGAACAGTGATCAATTTCCAAGTCGGGATGGTGAGTGGTTTGGTGGGGAACTTGCTGGTGGTGGTGTTGGTGTTCACGTGTGTCTGCTTCTGTTGTCCTTCTTGATTGAAGTCCTGAGTTTGGAAGGTGCTATCCTAAGGATCTTTGAATTTCTGCAGTGCGTCTTTGTAGATGGTACATACTACTACTGAAAGTTGGGGGTAATGGCTTATGGATGTAGTGCCAATCAAGTGAGTTGCTTTGTCCTGGATAGTTTCGAGCTTCTTGTGTTGTTGGACCAGCACCCATCCAGGCAAGTGGTGAGGTGTGCCTTTTATCGATGATGGGCAGGTTTTGGGTAGTCAGGAGGTGAGTTACTTAAAGGTGCAGTATTCTTAACCTCTGACCTGCTCTTGTGGCCACTGTTGTGGTGAACCCAGTTGAATTTTTGGAAAACTTTTAATCCTCAGGATGTTGAATGTTAGGGGTGGTGGTTAATTTTTTTTTTTTTTTTCTGGATAGTCATTGCCTGGCATTTTGTGGAATGCAAATGTCAGCCCAAGTCTGGATATTGTCCAGATCTTGTTGCATTCAAATGTGGACTGCTTCAGTATGAGCCATTGTGAATGGTGCTGAACATTGATATCATCAGCAAAACATCCCCATTTCTGACCTTTTTATGATGGAGGGAATTCATTGTAGCAGCTGAAGATGGTTGAGTCCAGGACTCCAGCCTGAGGAACTCCTGCAGAGATGTCCTGGAGCTGAGATGACTGACCTCCAACCATGACTTTCCCCTGTCAATGACCATCTTCCTATGTGCCAGGTATGAGTCTAATCAGCAATGTGCCCCTGATATTCATTGATTCCAGTTTTGCTAGGTCTCCTTGATGCCACGTTTGGTTGAATTCAGCCTTGCTGTCACCCTCGCCTCGCCTCTGGAATTCAACTTTTGCCCCATGTTTTGAACCAAGCCTGTAATAAAGTCGGGCTGAGGTGGCCCTTGCAGAACCCAAACTGGGCCTTGCTGAGCAGGTGGTGCTTAATAGCACTGTTGATAACCCCTTCCATCACTTTACTGATGATTTGAGAGTAGACTGGGATGGTAGTTGGCTGGGTTGGATATATCCTGTCGTCTTTTGTGTACAGGATATGGGCAATTTTCCAATTTGGGTTAATGTCAGTGTTGTAACTGCACTGGAAGAGCTTGGCTACAGGAGCAGCAAGTTCTGGAGCACAAGTCTTCAGTACTATTGCTGGAATGGTGTCAGGCACACAACCTTTGCAGTATTCTGTGCTTCCAACCAACCACATGATGATCATGTGGAGAGAACTGAATTAGTATTTTGTAATGCTGAGGACCACTAGAGGCTGAGATGGATCTGCCACATGGCAGTTCTGGCTGAAGATTGCTAAAGAAGCTTCAACCTTTACTTTTTGCACTGATGTGCTGGGCTATTCCACCATTTTAAGGATGAGGATATTTGTGGAGCATCCTCAAATGAGTTTGTCATTTGGATCGGTTGGGACGTTCTTCACTGAAGATATGAGAGATGACCTTTTATAGAGGTTTAGGAAATCATGAGGATTATAGATGAGGACAGTAGTAGGTGTCTTTCCCTATGGTGGTGGATTTCAAGACTAGGGGGCATATTTTAAAGGTGAGAGGAGAGAGATTTTAAAGACGAGAATGGTTTTTTTACACCAGATGTGTGGAATGACCTTCCAGAGGAAGTGGTGGATGTGGCTACAGTGGCAATGTTTAAAAGACATTTGGATTAGTACATGAATAGGAAATATTTGAAGGGATATGGGGCAAGTGCAGGCAGATGGGAACTAGTTTAGTTTGGGATTATAGCTGGCATGGACTAGTTGGACTGAAGGATCTGTTTCCATGCTTTGTGACATGACCATCGTTTCACAGCTGGATGTGGCAGGACTGCAGAGCTTTCATCTGATGCGTTGTGGGATTGCTTAGCTCTATCACTTGTTACTTATGCTGTTTGGCATGCAAGTAGGTTTTTTTTTTTTTGTAGCTTCGCCAGGTTGACACATCATTCTCAAGGTATGTTTGGTGCTGCCCCTAGCATGTATTCCTGCATTCGCCACTGAACCAGGGTTGATCCCCTGGCTTAATGGTAATGGTTGAGTGGGGAATATGCCAGGTCATGAGGTTGCAGATTGTGCTGGAGTACAAATCTCCTGTTGATGGCCCATAGTGCCTCTTGGATGCAAGATGTGTTGAAGTCTGTCCCATTTAGCACAGTGATAGTGCCACATAGACAATAGAGGTTATTCTCTGTGAAGGTGGGACTTCATCTACACAAGAACACCAGGGTGATCACTTTTTTACATCTGTTCACAATGGAATTTGTATCTGCAGCTGGCAGATTGGTAAGAATAAGGTCAAGTGTAGTTTTTCCCTTTGGGTTTTTTTTTTTCCCCTCACCACCTGCTGCAGACCCAGTCTAGCAGCCATGTCCTTTTAGGACCTGACCAGCTCAATCAGTACTACCGCTGCTGAGCATCTGTTTGTTTGGTGGTGAACATTAAAATCTCCCACCCAGAGCCCTTGCCACCTCCTATGCCTCTCCAAGTGTTCAACATGGAGTACCATCCTTCCTCCTCTGATAATTCAGTACATAGGCAAGGAAACCTCCTGCTGATTGCTATGTTTTTAACCTGAACCTGAGACTTCATGGCGGGGGGTGTCTATACCACTGCCTCCACCTCTGAGCCTGTCCTGCCAGTGGGACAGGACATATCCAGGGATGGTGGCAGTGATGTCTGGGTCATTGTCTGTAAGGTATGACTCTGAGAATATCTGAGACAGCTCTCCCAATTTTGGCACTAACTAATAGATTAAGTAAGGAGGCTTCGCAGCATTGGCGGGACTATTTCTGCTGTTGTCTTTTCTGGTGTCTAGGTTGATGTCGGGTGATCTATCCAGTTTAATTTTGAGAGTTTGTAGTGAATGAAATGGCCTAGCAAAACATTCAGATATATCAAAAGGCAATTTGAGAGTCAACCACACTGGTCTGGAGTCACATGTAGGCCAGACCAGGTGAGGATGGCCTTTTTTGTCCTTCCCTGAAGGACATTAATGAACCACCTGGGTTTTTTGACAATGGTTTCATGGTCATCAGTTGATTCTTAATTTTAGATTTTCTACAAATTGATTTCCAATTCTACATTCTGCCACGCTGAGATTTTGAACCCAGGTCCCCAGAATGAGTTTGTGGACTAATGGTCCAGTGATGATACCAGTTGGCCACTGTCTCCCAACCCCAACCCCTCTTTAAGCAGAAGCTCCTCCTAGTTAAAGGGTAATAGGAGCCACTGATGCCTAAGTGCACCACCACCTGTGGTTATGTTACTACTTCAGATCCTGGCCAAAAAAAACTATGGCCTCCCAGTCACCCAAATGTAGCCTGGTCCAGATTAGATGAGTTATCAGTGCCAGTTTGCACTGGCAGCAGCGTGACAGAGCCAACATTGAAACTCCTAGATCACTATTCTGGTAAAAGTAGATTTCACACCAGCTCTGCATTTACTTTCTTTAGATTTTATTTTATCCACAGCTCTACTATCTATTGGTTCCAAACCTGGGCTGTAATTGGTATGCTGCTGCCCCTTTATCGTAGAAGTGACATTAATGATTCAAAATGGTTGTACATGCATAGTCACTCTTATGTTCCTCAAGGTAATATTTTTTTTCAACATGTTGATACACCCAGGTGCTGTTGGAGATTTCAGTATAATAAGTTGTACAGCATGGATATGTTTACAGCTGAGCTTGCGAAAATATTTAGTTAAATTCTTGCAATAGGTAATAATGAACTAATTTGTGTTGTGAACTGAGAAAAGGACAGTGCAGAACTTCAAAAGGACCGAGGCAGGTTGGTGGAATGAAGACAAGACAGATGCAATTTAATACAGGATGGTGACACCGTTCACTTTAGCCGGCAGAATGAAGAGTGGCCATATAAAGGGCCCAGTTGCAAAACGGAGACAGACCGCTGATGAATTATCAGCTTTTCTACCTCTGTATTTGCAACACAATAAAACCAGTCATTCATTGTTCTGAACAAGACTTTTGAATGACCAATCCCAGACTTTGCAAGTAAGATGCAACACAAGTGT